GTCAGTACAGTTCGTTGCTCCTAATGGCCCCACGTGAAGTCTTTTACTGTGTGCAACCCTGCTTTACAGGAGTTATCAACAATTATCCGACAAACGCGACCTTTACAGGCGGTGGGGGATGGGGCCGAGCCGCCCACAGTTTGGGTGAACTTTATGGCCAAACGCAGGGCCATGTGTCTTTGAACGCTCCGTGGCCGGCTGTTTATTACACAAGAACAAAGGCTTTGCGTGTGAGCTTCTGTAATGACTACGGTGCCTGAAAACAAATCTCAGCAACCATCCAACTTCTACCGCTGAGACTTTCCTCCCAGGAAGGAAGGCCGCGCCTGCCTCTGCCAAGACCGCCCGAAGGCTGTCGGGAAACCACCTCCCTGGTGGAGCGGGCGGGCCTGGATGCGTAGGGTTTAGGTCTGGCCACGTGTTGGCTTTGAAGAAGGGGCACCCCAAGGGAGGGTTTCTGGAGGAGCGGGTGGGTAAGATCAAAAATGCCTGGGGAAGGCTGGGGTACTCAGGTGTCTGCTCCTAGGGAAACAGGTGTGTGTGTGTGTGTGTGTGTGTGTGTGTGTGTGTGTGTGTGTGTGTGTGTGTTAAAATGCACATAACAGAAAATCTACCATTTCAAACATTTTTAAGTGTATGATTGAATGGATTAAGAACTTTTTCGTCTTCCCAAACACAAGCTCCTGGTCCCCAACCCTCTACGTTCCGTCTCTATGAATCTGACTGCGCCAGGGACGCCACCTAAGTGAAGTCACACAGTATTGCCCTTGTGACCGGCCCCTTTCACTTGGCACAATGCCTTGAAGGTTCATGCAGGTGGGATCATGTGTCAGAATTTCTCTTCTTTTTAATGCTGAGCAGTAGCCCATTGGGTGTACGTGCCATGTTTTGCTTCTCGGGTCATCGGTCAGCGGGCATTTGGTGAAGTTTTCAGACTGTTATCTTCTGCATGGGCAAGAACATTATGCAACTTGTAGTGTAAAGAACATTTGCCCAATCTCTTTAATCGGATGGAAAAAGAGACGATGAAAGGTGAGTAAGTGGGCAAACAGCACGCATTTAGATGATGCCAAACGTGTAAACAGCGGTGTGCTCTCCCCCTCCCAGTCATTTCTGTTCTGGAAGAATATTCAGGGTACAAAGCCTACATTTCAAAAATAGAACTTATGAGTCTAATCGTATTAACTCAACAGGGAGCACCGATGCCAGCACAGCCTGGGTGAGTCACTCCTTGGAGTCTGACAGGAATGCGTTTCAGACAGGAGTTTTCTCTTCTTTGAGGTCTGTTTTAAGAAGTTCCAAAAGCAAACAGTAAAAATAACAAAATGCCCGGGGTCACCGATCTCAAGGCAGCCCTTCAAAATAGCAGCCCCGATGGCGGGCGCCAGGGGCTGGCGCTGGGCTGGGACTCCTTTCCCCAGGTGGCTCAGGCCCACCCTCTCCTGGGTCTTGCTGCGTCTCTAGTCCATTTAAGAAGCCGTGATGTGGAGGGAGTGGGTGGGGGCTGGTGGAGAAGGGGAGTGTAGGGAAGGAAGCAGAAGGAGCTGGGGGCTTTGGAAAAGCCATAATCATTTTTTTAAATGGTTGGTTTACTGATTTTTCTGTTTCTAGTTATCAGCCGAGGCCTGGAGCAAGCTGAAATTCAGGGTTGTAGCGTGTGGCTGCAGAATGACACCATTCATGCCACCGCGTGAGCAGTGTGTGCTGTGTGCTGCTGGGCCTGAATCCTTGTCCCCGAGGCTCTCACCGTGCCCCCCCCCCATCCTCCCACTTGCTTTGCTGTAGGCATTCCCAGGGGCTCCGCCTCCCAGAAGACTGCCCGGTGACATCATGAGTTTCAAGTTTCTCTCTTGTTTTCACGCCATCGCTGAATTGGCCTATTGGCTCAGCTTTATGCACCCCCTTTGCCTGGGGAACAAAACCTCTCTATCAAGAATAGCATGGCCTTGGCTGGTTTGGCTCAGTGGATAGGGCGTCGACTGTGGACTGGAGGGTCCCGGGTTTGAGTCTAGTCAAGGACATGTGCCCGGGTTGCAGGCTTGATTCCCAATAGGGGGTATGCAGGAGGCAGCTGATCGATGATCCTCTTTCATCATCAATGTTTCTATATCTCTCTCCCTCTCCCTTCCTCTCTGAAAAAAAAAAAAGAATAGCACAGCCAGCGTGGCTCAGTGGACACTGTTCTGGGGAGATGCTCCTTGATAAGATGGTGTGAGGATTAATCACCTTTAGAGAGGGGCCATCCCCATCTCCAGAAATTTAATGTGCACTGGGAGCCTCCAGGAGCCTCCAGGAAACCCCAATGTAGACCCCGGTGAAATTCAGGAATTTTACACCGTGCTCAACACACAGTAAGTTACCTACAAGTATCCGCAACATTTCCAGGACCACATATTAAATGCACCAATAACCCCAGACTCTTTTTCCCAACCCACGCCCGGAGTCCCCCCACCCAGAATGCCAGCTTTTAGTAGAGGGAGAAGGAAAGGGGGAGGGAGCAAATGATAGCATTTTCCATGAAAAGGTTTGAGAACGACTGTTGCACAAAAAGGTAGGAGCCCAGGCAGCATGGCTCAGTGGTTGAGCATCAACCTATGAACGAGGAGGTCATGGTTCGATTCCCAGTCAGGGCTCAATCCCCAGTAGGGGGCTTGCAGGAGGCAGCCGATCAGTGATTCTCTCTCATCATTGATGTTTCTGTCTCTCTCTCTCCCTCTCCCTTCCTCTCTGAAATCAATAAAAATTAAAAACAACTTTTTTTTAAAGACAGAAGGAAAGCCATCAGTGTACCCTGGGAGAGGGGGAGGAGAGGAGGAACATCTCCAAGAACTGAAATGTGAGGGACAGAGAGAAGGCTGGAGGAAGAAGGCGGCAGAAGTTTCCCTCCGCACTGTGATGGAATCCTCCTGTGGCTCTTTCGAGAGCCTTCATCTGCTTTTTGTTTTTTCCTTGCCTGCTGGGTCGTCTGGGTTTTGACTCAGACACCATGCTGCGGCTGGTTCAGGGAGCCAGCAAATCAATCCGACTGAATACAGGCTTCACCAGCAATAACAGTCACTGTTTACTATTATTCTTATCATCCACCCATAACCAGGTCTCCTCGCTGCTCTCTCCAGAGAGGACAGTGTTGTGGGAACCGTGGTTCTGGGGGCTGACCCGTGGATGTATCAGCTTCGCCAGATGCCTTCACCTTGATGGAGATGAATGTCATCTAAAGATTCCACGTCTGCCCTGGCCAGTGGGACTCAGTTGGTTGGACTGTCATCCCATGTACAGAAGGACTGCAGGTTCCATGCCCTCTCAGGGCACACCCCCAGGTTGCAGGTTCCATCCCTGGTTGGGGTGTGCATCGGGAGCAACCCAGTGATGTTTCTCTCTCACATCAATGTTTCTCTCTTTCCCTCTCTCTCTTCTCTCTCTAAAACATCAATAAAACATATCCCCAAGGGAGGATTAAAAAATAAAGACCCCGAATCTCTAAACCATGGTGAAGCACTGGCCAAGGAAAGGCAGGTTAAGGGATTCCCTTTTCCAGGCCCTCGGACAGCAAGGTGAGCGTCTATGTCCAGCAGGTAACCCGACAGCCTCCTCTGGCCTCAGCCGGTATCACCATGCGGGAGCACCTCTAGGGGGTGATGTGGGGGTGGGGGGGCAAGCAGGCCCCAGCCTGCATCATTGCCTACCTCCTTGTGCCCCAGACGAAAATGATGAGAGGTGTGGACTGGCGCTTCGGCCAAGCTTTGATTCCAGTGGAAGTCACACCTCGGGGCTCTGCCCACTTTGATGAAATCAAAGGAGAACATTTTGTTTCTTGCTTGTAATTTCTGTCTGAAGCATCTCCATGGGTGACCTCAAAGGCTGCTTTGAAATCACTCTCCAAGCACCAAAGGATTCTTTTGCACCTTTTTCTCTCCAGGGACATAGAGGTCCCGGATCTGACCGCACCGTTGGTGATACCGCACGAGAGCGCTGCAGGGCAGCTCCGAGTGGCTGGGACAGAGCCTCCTGAGTCCGGTCCAACCAGGACCTGGTTTTTCGTTGCGTTTGTTTTGTTTGTCTCAAGGTCTTCTTGTTGAAGACCTTGATTTCAGTCTTTGCTGGAAGGTTCTAGAGTCTGAAGCATTGTCCTTGGTCTGAAGCAGACTCGGGGGAGGGGGGGTGTCGTCTAGATGAGATGCCATCCAGCCACCCCGGGGGAGCGCCTGGGTGAGAGCCATCCAAGGTTGTGTTTGGATGCGACCCACAGGTTGAGAACCGCTGGCTTAATAGCTCATTTCTTTTTAGTGACGTATCTTTTTAGTGATGTATCTTTTAATTTATTTACAAAATTAGAATGGGTTAAAGAATTGGAGCGGGTGCAGGAGGAGGAGTATGGGGAGAAGCAACCTGACCGTGTAACCCTGGCACCCAATTTGCCTTTTGACTTGGTTGGGCTCATCAGATGCCGGCATTGGTCTTCATATGAACAGCAGGTGCTATCAGATTCTTCTTTCATTGTTCATTCATTCATTCATTCGTTCACTCCTGTCACAATGACGTTCCCTGGTGGCTGACGAGGTGTGGCCTCCTTCATGGCTGAGAGGCTGACTCAGCCAGCACCCAGTGGGCCAGAGAGCTCTTCGAATGCGAATCAGAACTTTCTCAACTAAGAAAGGCGGTGGGAGGGGGTGGTGGTGGCGAGAATCAATCAGCAATGACAGAAAACAACTTTCCTGCCCTCCCCCCTGCAGTCTAGCTCCGTTCAAACACCCTCTAATGCAGTGGTTCTCAACCTTCTGGCCCTTTAAATACAGTTCCTCATGTTGTGACCCAACCATAAAATTATTTTCGTTGCTACTTCATCACTGTAATGTTGCTACTGTGATGAATCGTCATGTAAATATCTGCTATGCAGGATGGTCTTAGGCGACCCCTGTGAAAGGGTCGTTCGACCGCCAAAGAGGTCGCGACCCACAGGTTGAGAACCGCTGGCTTAATAGCTCATTTCTTTTTAGTGACGAATGATATTCCACTGTCTGGATGTGCCACAGTCTCATCCTTTCACCTCCTGGAGGACATCTTGGTTGCTTCCAAGTTTGGGCAATTACAGATAAAGCTGCTATAAAAACCCGTGTGCAGGTTTTCGTGTGGACATAAATTTCCAGCTCCATTGGGTAAATAACAAGGAGTGTGATTGCTGGATTGTTTGCTAAGAGTATGTTCAGTTTTGTAGGAAACCATTAAACTGTCTGGAGTGGCTGCACCGTGTTGCATTCCCACCAACAATGACTGAGCGTTCCTATTGCTCCACATCCTGCCAGCATTTGGTGGTGTCAGCGTTTTGGATTTGGGCCATTCTAATAGGTGTGCCCTGGTATCTCGTTGTTTTCCATTGTATTTCCCTGATGACATAAGATGTGGAGCATCTTTTCATGTGCTTGTTTGCTGTCTGTGTATCTTCTTTGATGAGGCGTCTGTTGAGGACTTTGCCCATTTTTTTTTTAATCAGGTTGTTTTCCTATTGAGTTTTTTTTTGAGTTCTTTGTATATTTTAGGTAACAGCCCTTTAACAGATGTGTCTTTTGCAAATATTTTCTCCTAGTCTGTGGCTTGTCTTCTTATTCTCTTGACATTGTCTTTCACAGAGCAGAAAATTTTTTAATTTTAATGAAGTCTAGTTATCAATTTTTGTTTCCTGAATCCTGCCTTTGATGTTGTATTTTTAAAAGTTATCTAGGTGTTTTTTTTTTTACTATGTTATTGTCTAGGAGATTTATCATTTTGCATTTTGCATCTGAATCTATGATCCATTTGAGTTCATGTTCCTTCAAAGTGGAAGATCTGTGTCTACATTCTTTTTTTTTTTTTTTTTTTGCATGTGGATGTCCAGTTGTTCCAGCACCATTTGTTGAAAAGACTGTTTTGCTTTGTTGTATTGTCTTCGCTCCTCTGTCAAAGGTCAGTTGACTATGTCATGGAGGTCATGTTTCTGGGTTCTCCGTTGACCTCCTGTTCCATTGATCTATGATTTGTCTCTTCTTTCACCAGTACCACCCCGTGTTGATCACTGTAGCTTTATAGTAAGTCTTGAAGTCCGATAATGTCAGTCTTCCAACTCTGGTTTTCTCCTTCAATATTGTGTTGACTGTTTTGAGTCTTTTGCTTCTTCATATAAATTTTAGAATCAGTTTGTCATCATTTGGTTTTTTCTAAGGTGTTTAAAATTTATTATGGGGGTGGAGGGAACCCAGGGGCAAGAAGTGTCTGATAGCAGCTAGACAACATCTCATTTAGTCTTGACGCCAGCCTGAGGAAGGGGGGACACCAAGTCCAGAAGGGGTTAAGCAGCCTGAAGTCATTGAGTGAGTCAATGCTTCTTTAACCCTTTAGCACGCATAACAAGTTGCCGCTAATTGAGAACACCCAGCGCACACCTTCTAACAAGCACCTGCAAGCTGACCTGGTTGGGTAGCTGTGCATTCCCATCGCGCCAATCAAGAGCCCAAAAAGTCCATGCAGCTAGCACTTCACATCACTTGGACCTGAGCACCATTCCCCAGATTAAACTGTGAAACGACACCCCCGCCCCGAGTTCATGCCTCGCACTGAGAATGTCCACAGCAGCACTTAGGAACTGGTTTTCATTTTTAAAAAAATCCACAGTTTAAAAAAAAAAGAAAGAAAGTGAAAATGGATAAGATTTCCGGTGAAGGGCTCAGAACAAAGATCCCGGGAATTCGCGTGCTTTCCTCTGAAGTTGTTCTATGGGTTGTGTCCAGCGGCTTCTGTCACCGTGTCTCTTTCTGACCTTATTTCTTTGTCTTCTCTTCCATGTCTTAAAAACTAGTGAGTGTATTTCTTTATCTTTATTTATGTGCTGAAATGATCATTGAGACCGAAGACGAGCAGCTGCCTTTAACGATGAATGAAGAAGCCGGCCCAGCTGTATGCCCTTGGCTTTGAGGTGGGCGGTTCCTCTTTAAACTTCCTCCTGGACGTACAGATCTGGGAGTGACGGGGTCAGAGAAAGCTGCTTCCACCAAGGTTGGCCTTTTCCACGGTGAGACAATGACTCAGCACGTCTTTCCAGCTCCAGGGTCCAGGCCTTCCTACGTCTTGCTGTGTGTGACTTTTTCTGAGAGAGGAAGGGGCCTGCGTCCACATGGGGTTTGAATGGGGGCGGGGATTTTGCCCAGGGTCAGCCATCCACAAGCAACAAACAAACAAACAAACAAACGAAGAGGGGACTGCAGTTCCTAGAAGCTCCTTCACTTGAGGGAAATGTTCTCTTTTCCAGCCCATTAGCATAACCGTCTTAGCATAACCGTCTTCCACGGTGAGTTCAGACTGTGGGGAACTTCTCAGATAGAGTCATCGGTGTGCGGCCCTGGGCAGCTCCTCCCGGGAGGAGGCCTGTGGATGGAGTAACCATGAGTCACTCCTGTAAATGAGAAATGAATGAACTAGTTCCATGAGCCCCTCTGAGCCCTACCTTTGCCAGCACAGGGAGTGACAGGGGCAGCTGCCTCCTGGCCCTTCGGAGCCCCCCCCCCCATTCAACTTGGCTCTCCCAGGTGGCAGGCCAGAAGCCAGCAGATGGTGCCCATGTGAGGGTGGGATGTCACCTGGAGGTGACCTCAGGTCACCAGCCACCAGCCTCCTTCTCTTCCTGCTTCTTCAACCCTTTAGCACCTGGAGAGCTGGCCCTGCCCTCTGACCTCCTCTGACCTCCTTCCGGGAGACAGCGGGTGGGGGGAGAGGGCTGCGGGCGGGAGGGGGGGGGGCGGCGTGCTGGCTGGTCCTTTCTTGGATTTGCCCGGACCCACCGGGTGGGTGCTTAATTAGTTAGTGTGTGTGAAGCCCTTTGAAGATACCAAGTGCTGCATCAAAGCGGGTCTCATGGTGCGATAATGGGGAGGCCTGCGTGCTGGTCTCTGGTGGGTGCGGCCTCGCTTCTCCTTCCCTCCCTGTGTGTGGTGTGTGGTGTGAGTGTGGTGTGTGTGGTGTGTGTGGTGTGAGTGTGGTATGTGTGGTATGTGTGGTGTGTGTGGTGTGTGGTGTGGTGTGTGTCGAATGTGTATAGTGTGTGGTGTGTGTATGGTGTGTGGTGTGTGTGGTATGTGTGTTGTGTGGTGTGTGTGGTGTGAGTGTGGTATGTGTGGTGTGTGGTGTGGTGTGTGTGGCCTGGTCCCTCCTGGCCTCAGCATGTACCTGGGGCTGCAGGACAATGACCGGGACCACTGTCAAGGGCAGGGACAGAGCTGCTGTGGGCGGGGTCTGGCGTGGGCGGCCTGAACTTTTGTTCTGAGCCCCCATCCCCTCCCAGGCCGCCCGCCAGGAGCCAGGAGCTGTGCCTCCCGCCCCCACAGCCGGCAGCCCACATGAAAGCCATTAGCTTCCCACTGACAAAGGGGGCGGTAATTTTTTTGAAACCACCCTCGCTGCTGCTTCTCTCCTTTGCCCCGATTCCTGCCAACCTTGATCAGGGCCCCCTCCCGCCCACACTGGCGGGGCTCCAGGCCCCGTGACCCTGCTGCCGCCCAGCCGTGGGAGAGCTGCTCGCTGCCACCCCCGCAGGAGGGGAGTGCCATCCAGAATTCCTTGGGATGCAGCCGTGCCCCCAGGACGCTGGGCTACCCTGCAGTTGGGCCTGGGCAGGGGATATGTTACTGCAAGGAGCTGCTGCAGGCACCGGGCACCGGGCAGGCCCCACCCCCTCAGTGGCAACGCTCAGGGGTGCCCTGCCCTGCAAGGCCCTTCCGGGGTAACCCCACCCGAGAGGCCCTCCCTGCCTCGCCGCACCTCTGGAGAGCTGGGCGGGGGGAGCAGTGGAGAGGACCCGCCCTGACGCCCGGCCCATTGCCTCCTCGCGGGCCACCAGCAGAAGGGTCCCCGTGGCTGCTTTTCAGAAACGAAGACGCAGTTCACGTGCTGCCAAACTCACCGTCTAAACCATGACAAGGCGCACAGACAGCTCTGTGGTTCTGAGTCAGTCACGAGGCTGTGCAGCCACCACCACCTTCTAACCCAGAACCTTCCATTCCCCTCCGGCCCAGCAGCCACCAGGGGCACCCCACCTCCCGCAGCCCGTCTCTGGAAGCCACAGCCGCTTCCTCTGCCATAGGTCTGCCGGCTCGGGACGCTTCACACCAATGAACTCGTATGAAGCGGAGTCTCTGACCGGCTCTTCCCCGTCCCTGATTTGTCCAGGTTCCAGGCTGCAGCCCATGAGGACTTCCCTCCTTTTCGCGGCCGGACCGTCTCCCTGGTGTGGCCAGCGCAGCGGCTTGTGCATCAGCGGACGGGCTGCCGTGGCTTGTAAGTGTCGTTGCTTCACAGACTCCCACCCCCATCCTGCCCGGCGGCTGCCCCCAGGGCAGGGGTCCAGCTGCCCACTGTTGGGATCTTCTGTGCTGAGCCAGTGGCCGCAGGGGACGTGGGTGGGAGTGTCTGGGTGGGGACGCTGAGCTCTGCCGCGGATCGGCAGCTGGGGTCTCTCGGCACCCCTCCCGCTCCCCTGCCTGGCGTCTGCATCAGTAACACGAAGGGCTTGAGCCACGCAGCCTCTCGCATCTCTGGCTTTTGGCAAAGCGATGGCGCAGGCGGCAGCCGGTGTTATTACTACCTCTGCGGAAGGAGAGAAAAGCACACTGTGGGCTGGCAGGGTTGGCGCGGCCATAACTGAACGCGGTTTTGTTTTTTCTTCTAACCCTCACCCGAGGATATTTTTTCCATGGATTTTCAGAGAGAATGGAAAGGAGGAAGAGGGGGGCAAAATGGGGGAGGAGGAGAAGAGAGAGAAACATCGATATAAGAGAGACACACTTCTTGGTTGCCTCTTGTACACACCCCAACCAGGGCCAGGGATTGAACCTACAACCCAGGTACATGCCCTTGATCGAGAATCGAACCCGAGACCCTTTGTTGCATAGGCTGGCGCTCTAACCATTTAGTGACACTGGCCAGGGCTGAAGTGCTTTTTAAATAATAATCTAAGTCAGTGATGGCGAACCTTTTGAGCTCGGCGTGTCAGCATTTTGAAAAACCCTAACTTAACTCTGGTGCCATGTCACATATAGAAATTTGTTGATATTTGCAACCATAGTAAAACAAAGACTTATATTTTTGATATTTATTTTATATATTTAAATGCCATTTAACAAAGAAAAATCAACCAAAAAAATGAGTTCGCGTGTCACCTCTGACACACGTGTCATAGGTTCGCCATCACTGACCTAAGTTGATCCACAGAAGACATCTGTAGTAGGTTCCCAAATGACAGGAAATCACTGTGAACGACAGGAAGGAATGACCAAATTAAAAAGAGAAGACACATGACAGGAACGAATGCGGAGCGGTGTTGAGCTCCCGATCCCCACAGATCAGTACGGCTGGGGGTGAGGAGGCCAGGCGGTGCCCATCAGAAAGGGGTTTTGCTGGACTCGGCATCGCTCTCATTTTGAGCTGCCATTGGGTTGAGCTGCCACAGCAGCCAACGTGATTTTCGATTACATTGAAGGAGCACAGGGGCTGACACAGGGAGGTGACCCTGGGGAGACCACATTCTGGGAGGGAGGCTAAGAGGGTGGCCCCGAGAAGGACAGGCCTGGAGGAAGATGACCTGGAGCTGTGATGCCTTAGGAAGCCGAGAGCCCAGGAGACGTCGCCTGGGGCCTGGAAGGAGGCCGGGGCCCTGAGCTGGTGGGTTGTCACCCAGGACGCGGGAGCATGCTGTGGCAGCAGAAGGCACCGGGACGTGGGAGAACAGGTGAGGCGCGCCCAGGTGGGGCAGCTTCTTATCAGGGACTTCCAGTGCCTTTCCTGTTTATGGGGCCTGGGGAATTGCAGTCAGATAAGCAGGGGGAGGATGGGGAGGGGCGGCTGGGCTCACAGGAGCCTCCCCGCTCACTGGGAGCCAGCCAAAGCCCGCTGCTGCCCTGCCCAGGGCGATTGAGACTTTCTCTGCAAGTGCACTGTTCCCCTCAGCACCTGAAGCTGCAGCGGTAAATCACCTGCTGGGGCGATCTCTGCTCCACACAAGCCCCCGGTGGCACCAGGCAGGGTGACTCACACATTCGGAGTCAACTGTGGAAGCGGGGTTCTTTCCAGAACGCCTGCCGGTGTCCTGGGTGACGGTCAGGCCCAGGGCCCGGCGCGGCTGGGGATTGGCCAGCCCATTGGCCGGTTGCCTTTTGCACCCCAAGAATTTGGGAGGAGGATGGGAACCCATGGCTGCTTCCTGATCCCAGTTCCGAAAACCATCTGATTCAGTGCAGCGGCCACCTCTCCACCAGAGCTGCCCTGGGCGCGCTGCAGGCAAAGCCTCGCCTGGGAGGTGGCCCAGTTCACACAGCACGTGGCCTGCGGCGGCCTCAGGGTCAGCGGCCACTTCTTACTGACACGATGGATTCGGGGATCCCAGCGCGGGCCGGCCTGTAAAGCTCATGTTCAGAGGGAGTGTCTGCTGACACATAAGTCCAAGGCCAGAGACACTCTTAGTTGTTTGATGGCCACACTCCTTTCTGCTGTGCTCCTTGCAAAGGCAGGACGAGCCGGGCGGGCCTGAGTGGCACTCCTGGCTGCTTTTCCCAGGGAGGGCGCGTGGCTCCGGGAAAGCCGCAGGCGCAGGGCCGGCCTAGGATTCCTCACCGTCCTGCAGGGCTCGGGGCTGCCCCATCCTCCCGCGGGGCTGGAGCTCAGCCACCTGGAGACCAGCATCGCACATTCCTAAGAGCTTAGTGGACAAGGACAGCCTGAACTTGGGAAACAAAAGAACAGGTGTCTGCTCCCAGAACCTGCCCCTCCGCTGTGCGGGCCGCGGGATGGCTGCCAACGCTCCCTGCTCCCTTGGGTCAGGATGGGGAAGCCTGGCTCTCTCTCCTGAGATGCCTGCTGCTGGGAGCAAATGCAGATGAAGGTCAGCCCTGCACTGAGCTGTAATCTCCAGCTGTCAGATGCAGGCCCTGGGAGGTGTGGCTGAGGCCTGTGAGTCAGACCCCAATCCCGTCTCTGTGCCCGGGAGCTCGCAGGCCCGGAGCACGTCCTGACTGTCTTGCTCAACGTTGCAGTTCCCACCAGCCTGGCACACACAGCTCCCACCTGCATGGCACACGCAGCTCCTACCAGCCTGGCACACGCAGCTCCCGCCAGCACAGCACACGCAGCTCCCACCAGCACAGCACACGCAGCTCCCACCTGCACAGCACACGCAGCTCCCGCCAGCACGGCACACACAGCTCCCACCAGCACAGCACACGCAGCTCCCACCTGCACAGCACACGCAGCTCCCGCCAGCACGGCACACACAGCTCCCACCAGCACAGCACACGCAGCTCCCACCTGCACAGCACACGCAGCTCCCGCCAGCACGGCACACACAGCTCCCACCAGCACAGCACACGCAGCTCCCACCTGCACAGCACACGCAGCTCCCGCCAGCACGGCACACACAGCTCCCACCAGCACAGCACACGCAGCTCCCACCTGCACAGCACACGCAGCTCCCGCCAGCACGGCACACACAGCTCCCACCAGCACAGCACACGCAGCTCCCACCTGCACAGCACACGCAGCTCCCGCCAGCACGGCACACACAGCTCCCACCAGCACAGCACACGCAGCTCCCACCTGCACAGCACACGCAGCTCCCACCAGCACGGCACACACAGCTCCTGTGCTGGCAGCGTATGGGCTCTGGGATGCATCCAGGGATGTTCCTGCTCAAGGGGGGCCTGACTCTTACCCATCAGGGACTGCTGGTCTTCAGAGAGCCCTGTTTTGGGTGCTGGGGACCCCTCCCCTAAAGGGTTGCCCAGCAGACCTGCACTGGGGGAGCATGGCTCTCTGCAGTGTGTGCGCTGCTGACACAACGCCACCTGTAGCCCAGGTTCTATCTAAACGCCCTTTGGATGCGGGAGTGAGGGTGCTTCTGACCACCCTCCTGTTCCCTTTCAGGGACCTCTCCCACTTGGCCAGCTCCCTCAACCGGCCTCAGTCAGTGCCACCCGCAGGGTCTCACCTGTGGCTCCCAGGGGCGGCATCGAAGACACACAGGAGCTGCTCCGTGGGTGGCAGGGACTGTTCTGGGCGAGAGGCGAGGCAGGGGCGGGCAGACTCCTTGCCTCTGAGCTTAGGTTTCAGTGGCTGGAAGCTGAATACATGGAAGCTGTTTTGATGCTTCTGTGATTATTCGCAGCGTCAGCATTTCCCACTGCACCCACGGTACGTCTGCTCATGGCTGCTCACCCATCAACATCGTCCTGGGCAGGGGGCAAGGACGGGGAGCTTAGGGACAGAGGGGAAGCCTCCTGTCACCCTTTATTGCTTTAATGCTTTGCCCCCACATTCTCTTTCTTACTGATAGTTTATTTCTCCCTTTTTGATATTTTATTTCTTCCTTATTGATATTTTATTTCTTACCGATATTTTATTTCTTGCTTGCTGATATTTTATTTATTTCTTACTGATATTTTATTTCTTACTGACATTTTCTTTCTTTCTTTCTTACTGGTATTTTAAAGAAGCCAGTTTGAGCCCCACCCTCACATTCCTAATGAGGAACTTTCACCTCTATTTCCCAGTAAATGACATAGTCCTCTGTGAACTCTTGCTGAACTGATTTTATGAGCACACTGTTCTCATTCGTTGAGAACTGGCAAGGCGACCCAAATGGGGCCAGTGTGGGCAGGTGAGGCTGCCGCGGCAGGTGACAGCTTTCAGGGCTCTGGCCCGAGGCCGGCGCCGCCTCTGCTGACGTGTGCTGACTGGGCTGGCTGTTTACTACATTGCTTTTAACAGCTTCACTTCCAGTAAACCTGAGAGCACGCCCCACCACCCTCATTTACAGCACCCGGCGTATCACAGGGCGGCATGTGGGCCAAGAAAGGGAGAGTCTTGGAAAGGTGAGGCTAGCTGGCAGCGGGCACATCCCCTGATGTGAAGAAAGAGTCTGGGTAAACCAGATGGCCGCTTCGGCGCTGCCCAGGGACACGCTGCAGGCTGCTCCTTGGAAGTGGATGTGAGCACAATTTCTTCTTGAGAAAAATCTAAGTCATCAAGGGTGGTGGTCTGGGAAGAGGAGCTGGTCTCAGGATGGCTGGCTGCCAGAGTGATGTGGACAAGTCATTTCTCCTCCTTGAGCCTCAGTTTCCCTCCCTGTATAATCGGGGTGTTCAGTTATGATTTCTTAGTGGGAAGCAGCGCAGCACGGTGTAGGCACGGGGCTCCTGGTTCCAGGCCTTCGTCTTCCCGGCCGTGGGACAGTGGGAGAGGCCTGACCTTGTGCAGACTCGGTCCCCCCCTGTGGTCTCTGGGCTGCTTTGAGGGTTTTGTGCGATGAAGCTCACGTCACTCTTAGCAGAGCGGCAGGGGCCTGGGGGGTGCTCCATACAGGAGCTCTTATCAATGTCAGCTCCACCAGGGAGCGCTCGTGGGGGCTTCGTGGACAGGGAGCGCTCACTGAGCCACCGTCCGCGGAACATCCCCTCACCTGCGACCCAATGAAAGGCCACAGACTCCCTTCATTCAGGTGGAAGTTACCAAAACCTCCATCCCCATTTCACTGAGGTTCCTAAACATGGTCACCTTTTATCTGAAACCATGTCCCTGAGGCAAAGGTCAAGCTGTCCATTTGGGGTGAAAGATAAAAAAAATAACAATTTCCTCTACTCGGTACTAGAGGCTTGACGGAGCCTGTTCAAGTGTATGATCTCATTGGGTCCTCCCGGCAGCTGGTGAGGACGGAGGACAGCTGCAGGTGAGGACACGGAGCCCAGAGGTTGTCCAAGGCAGCATGAGCAACAAGGACGAGGGAAACTGAGGCCCAGAGGTTGTCCAAGGCGCATGAGTGACAAGGACCCGGGAGAGGACAAGAAATCACACCCTCTGGTCCCAAATCTCGGGTCTGCCCAAGGCAAACAGCGTGGCGGCTGGCTCCTTAGATCTGGAAATAACAGAGAAGCCCTGCTTGTCTTTCCATCTCTGCACGTGGCGGGCTGGCTGCTGGAGCAGCAGTGACCCACACGGTCTAGATGTGCTATCTGGGGTGTGTGCGCCCCGTGCAGGGGACAGGCTCCCTGCTGGGGCGCCCTGGACACGTGTCCTCCTCCAGAAAGGGCCTCCCCAGCCTGGCGAAAGGGTCCTACTTCACGAGTCAGCGCTTCATCCCCTCCCGGCCTCACTGGGTGAGCCCTTGACAGGACAGGGAATCCGTGCCGAAGCCGAGGAAGGACTCAACGCAGTCCTCCCAGGGGGCGGGCGAGGTCCCAGCCAGCAACAGGAGGGATTCGCTTGGTGACTAGAGGCGTTTGTGATGAGCGGAGTAGATCTTTAAAACAATACGAACAGCGAGTTTTCTCTTTGTTTTTCTTTTTTGTTAGTCCTCACCCGAGGATTTTTCTATTGATTTTTAGAGAGTGGAATGGAGGGAGATGGGGAGAGAGAGAGAGAGAAACATTGACTGGTTGCCTCTCACACCAGGGCCGGGTATTAAACCTGCAACCCAGGTACGTGCCCTTGACTGAGAATCGAACCTGCGACCCTTCAGTCTGTGGGCCAACGCTCTAACCACTGAGCAGCACTGCCCAGGGGGCAACAGCTGACTGAGAATCGAACCTGCGACCCTTCAGTCTGTGGGGCAATGCTCTAACCACTGAGCAGCACTGTCCAGGGTGCAACAGTGAGTTTTAACTGGAAACCGCCAAGCGAAAGAGGATGGGGCAGAGACCACGTGAGAGGGTTGTGGGGGGTGTGGAGGGCTTTGCGAACGAGCCTCCACTCGCTCTCCTGCAGACACGGGGCCCTGGGAGGGAGAGGCCGCGGCAAGTCCCGTCAGGCTGCAGGCCCTTCCCGGACGCGCTGGCACCCTGGAATAGCCGCTCCTCCGTGCTCACACGTAGGCAGCTTATCTCAGGTCTTGTTGGGGCTTAGAAATCCCTTAATCTCCCAGGATCGTCTTTAATGGATCAGCCTCTATTTTTATTCTTGGATGGAGAGGTGAATCAGAGACTCGGCTGACTCCCCGGCACTTGTGGAGGCCTGTCCCCGAGCGAGCGCCGAATTCCTTGCAGCTTCCAGCAGGTTAAGGACAGAGCTGAGGCTGAAATGCAAACGCCAGCAAGACGGGGCCTGCTCTTCCCCACGGAATTCGAAACATAGTAGGCAATCAGCAAATACCGCTGAAGACAAACATCACAGGTGGTGTGGACTCCAGGAGCATTCTGGCGCCCCCCCACCCCCAATTCCGTGTGTGGAATGCAAGCTGATGGCAGCCGGCAGGGGGTTGTCTGAATTGATAAGCCTGATGCCTATAATTTTCCCAAACTAATGTATTTGTGGCTGTGGCTACATGCATGGAACTTTCTAGGCTTGGTGAAAGCTTGAGGACCTTTTTTTTTTCCTACATGTGGTCACCACAGTAGGTTACCCCAAGACCCTCTCTGGGGATGTGGGGTCCCAGGGGATGTGGTGTTCTGTTGAGCCAGTGGGTCCTTTAGATGCTTATCGGAAGCCATTCTGGGCCCGTAGAAGTGGGATTTATGTTGTTCTGGATGCCATAGTCTGGGGGCCAGGTGGTTACCAGAAAACAGCAGGACTTGGTGGGAGAGGGAAATGGGGGGCCAGGGCTGCTTCCCAAGTGGCTTCCCCTACGTTTGCTGTCACAGGCTTTGTCCAGACCACCCAACGCGCTGATCGAGTCTTTGGTGTTAACACAGGACTTCAGTCTCCCGGGTGGAGGGTTGGGTAGGTGGAGGAAAGAGCTGAGGAGAGAAATGCTCACAGTGGTAACATTATAGTCGTTACTTAAGGTCCTTAGAGGAGCAGAAGGAAATACTTTCTCATTTGATCAGTATTAATTGAGCACCTGCTATGTGACAGGGAGGGTCTTCGGTGCTTTAAGAGATGTCAATGCCAAGGGGCACTTACACTATAGCAAAGGGAGCAAGAAAGATAAAAAACAACACCCAACATATATAAGATGATGTTATAACAAATAGTAAATATAATACAATACAGTCATCCTATATAATAAAAGGCCAGGAACCATAAGTGTAACGACCGGAATGACCGCCCGACCAGTTGCCATGAGGTGCATTGACCACAACTCTGTCCCTCCACCCCCGGCCTGCAGGCTCCGATTGCAGCATGGTGAATGGGGGAACCACGGTGAACCGAGTGGCGGCGGGGCGGGACTGGCAAGTGGGTGGAACGGCCAACCTCTTGGTCCCTCCCCCGGCCCGCATGCTCCGGGGAACCCGAGCCATGTTGTGATCGGGGAACCACAGCGAATGGGGGGTGGCAGTGGGGCGGGGCTGGGACTGGCGAGTGGGCAGAAGATGGCCCTGATCGCAGGCTAGGCCTAGGGACCCTACCCACGCACGATTTCGTGCACTGGGCCTCTAGTAATGATAATGAAACAAGCAAATGTCAGCTTGTTGAAGGGGTTGAGTGCACTGGAAAGAAAGGCAACAGAACAGGGAGGAGGGCAGAGAACTTGCCAGAGGGTGGAAAGATTGCAACTTTAAACAGGGAGAGTCAAGGTCAGGCCCACTAAGAGGAGGGCCTTCATGCAAAGGCCTGCAGGGGGTGAAGGCATTGGTCACGGGGGCATCTGGGGAAGCGTGTTCAGGCAGATGGAGCGGCCACTGCAAAGGTCCTGAGGCAGGAGCACCAGGCCTGTTCCAGAACAGCAGGGAGGCCAGTGTGGTTGGACCTGGAGGGAGGGGAGAGAAATGGGGGGCTGGGGCGGAGGAACGGGGCCAGACCACTTAGGGCGCTAGGGAGAAAGAGAAAAATCAAGAATGGCCCAGGGCCTGAGCATGTTGGTGCTCAATTCGTTTAATCCCCGATGGGATTCTTCTGGTGGGGGAGGGGAGATGTACATCATGACACGCGTGCCCAACCCCAAAGGGGTCACACTGCTCTGCTCTGAAGAACACCACTGTTTCACGGGGCATCAGTTCTGAGGGGCAAGAAGGCAGCTGTCTACACGTCTTGCTCCTCACAGATGTTAGGACGGGGGAAGGGTTGAAAACCAATGTTGTAAACACATTGACATCAACATCTATTATCGCCTAATATGTGCAAACTCTCCAATAAGTCTATTCTTTATCTTATTACTTACCTTCCAACTCGGTATCTTGATATGAAGTACACTAGACAATGAGGGACAATTTCTTAAAGGTTCTTAAGGGGTATATCTGAGTGAAGGAACTAAGTATTTTGGTAGAGTCTTTTCCACGTGCTCATTTCAGATCACATAACCAATGTACACTTCATGCTTTGTGGATGGGGCCAGACTCTAAGGAGTGGTGACTATCTGATGGGTCAATATGTTAGTTAATATGTTTTTATTCCTCAGGAGGTGAGATTTCTGTCAGTTTAAACGTCAGATAAAACATTCTCCATGGCTTCATCTGGTGTTTCTAACAGTCTCTCTTGCACAGTAATTACGCTGTTGGATTTTAAATTCCCCTCTTTTGATTATTTGCAAGCCTCTGTAGAGGTTCATGATGTGTGGTGAATTTTAATTCTTCTGAAGCCCCGGTTTGAGTCTCAGCTTCTGCAGGGATGGCCCCCAGAGGTGGTTCCAGCTTCCACCCAACATCTGGCCTGACTGTGGCTTCATCGTCCAGTGCTTGCTCCTGAACTTCTCATATGACTGAATGAGCACTTTTTGGTGATGTGGTGTTCTAAGGTGATATGAACAAATACTATGGACTGAATGTTAGTGTCTCCCCAAAATTCATATGTTGAAGCCCTAACCCCCTATGTGATGGTCTGAAGAGGTAGAGCCTTTGGGAGGTGATTAGGGTTAGATGAGGTCTTGAGGATGGGGCCCTCATGATGGGATTAGTGTCCTTATAAGAAAAGGAGGAGATGTCAGAGCTTCCTTTCTCCCCCATCTGAGAATACAGCAGGAAGATGGCCATCTGCGATCCAGAAGCAAACCCTCACCAACAACTGCATCTGCGGGCACCTTGGTCTTGGATTTCAGCCTCCGGAGAAATAAATGTCCGTTGTTTAAGCCACTTAGATATTTTGTCATAGCAGCTTGAGCTACGATAACACATATGAGGCTTCTTGTAGTCCTTGTGATGCAAACACACAAATGTCAGTTAGCTACCATTTCTATTTTTTCTTTTCTGAACATTTAAGAAATGAATTACATGCAAATGATTTAAATACAATAAAACGCACAGGTCTTCAGCATTTAGTTCAGTAAGTTTGAACAATTGTGCACCTGTGTAACCATCACCTCCGTCAAGACTTAGGGCATATCCACCAGCAGAACATTTCCTTCTGCCCCTTCCCAGTTAATTATCGGCCCACCCTCACAACCTTGGAGGCAGCAGATCTCCAGGAGGCAACTCTCACCATAGATTAGCTTGGTCTGTTCTAGAGTTTCAAATCCATAGATTCTTCTTTGTGTGTTTGACCTCTGTCACTCCATGTGATGTTTGGAGATAATTACTAGTACATGTTGTTGAGCCTATGAGCAATCTCTCCCTTTTTATTGCTGAGTAGCAGTCCATGTATGGACATACCACAATTTGTGAATCCACCCTCTAGTTGATGGGCATGTATTTGTTTGGCTATTGTGTATATTTTGTCTGTAAAAATTCTTGCATATGTCTTTCTGTCGACATGTTTCATTTCTGTTGGGTAATGCCTGGAACTGGAACTGTTGAGTCATAGAAGAGACACATAACTAAATGTGGAAGGAGCTGCCAGACAGATCCCTAACGTGGTGGTACCATTTCACTCTCCCCGATGGAGCGATGCGTAATAGTTCCAGTTGCTCTGCATCTTGCCAGCATTTGGTGTTGTCAATCGTTTTTTATTTTAGCTACTGTGGTGGGTGTGAAATGGCATCTCACCGTCGCTTTAGTTTTCACTTCTCTGATGACAAATGCCATTGAGCAACTTTTCATGTGCTTTCTGGCCTTCATGTATCTCCTTTGGTGACATGTCTATTCAAGTATTTTGCCCATGTTTAAAATTAAGTTATTTAGTTTTTCATGTTCATTTGTAGGAGTTCTATTTATTTTTGTATTTGTCTCTTCTCCCTTTTACTCCCTAAATTTCTTGAGATATTTTGTCAGTTCTGTCTACAGTGCCCGCCACAATTCTATGTAACTAGCAGGTACTTAATAAATATTTATTGGATTATCAGCAAGGATTAGGTTCTGTTTGGACAGTAGCATTACCTGTTGATTTTAGTAAAAGAAGTCAGTCAAGGTTATGTATTTCATCTTTTCTATTGGCAGCATATATTATTTTTCAGTTATTAAATTTGACATTACTCTTTTCTAGTATGTCCATCTTTTACAAATATGCAGGCTATTTTCAAATGTTTTAGGCCAATCTGACATATACCACTTGAGCTTGGAAACTATGATAAACTGTATAGTTAACTTTTTACAAGACTAAGGAAGATCTGAAGTTTTCATGATAGGTGGTCTCTTCTAGACATTAAAATATTTATAGTCTTAAAAAAATAGAACATTGTGTACTATCCTCTTATGTTTGTCTCCTCTTCTGAAGTTCATGAGACATTTCTTAGCAAGAGCCAGAGCCTAAGGGGCAGAAAGAAGAAATATAAATACTTCTATTTGAAGATAAAGATGGCGAGCATCGACAAAGAGAATATCTGAGGCGTTTAAAATCTTGTCTCCCTTCCAGTTTTGTCAGCCAAAGCATTATAAACTTATGTTCTGCTTTGAAAGAACACCTGCAATGATGTCATCTTCATATTCTTATATTAGTTTCTAGAGAGACTGGCCAGCTCAGGGGAGCCAGAGAAATATTTCTATGCTTGTCCACTTGAACATTGTCCCAGACTCTTTGCTCTTGGGTATTAACCCATGTTTTAGCAACACTCTCATGCCCAGGGTGATTCAGAGATTCATAAACTTGAATCTTGAAAATAATATGTAGCCAATAAATTTATTACTTTTCAGTTGCTTGGATTTAAATTCAAATGAATTCAATAAGTTAATTTTTTTTCTGACCTCAAAAGTAATAATTGCTTGTTGTAGAAATATAGCATAAAAGTATATAGAAATTGAAAATGGTCTGATAATCCATCTTCATAAAAATAATAAGTATTAAAACCTCTTAGGTTTACTTGCAGTCATTTCTGTTTTGGGGACTAATATATGATTTCTGTTCTATGAAAAAAGAATCGTGTGAATATATTCTATGAAATTCTGCTTTTCGTTTATTCCATGTTGCTTTTTCCAGAATGATTTTCACACATCATTACAGATTTTTAATGACTGTATAACATTCCATTATGTGCTGCTTCTCCTTATATTTGTGTGTTTATCAGTCAAGTTTTGTGGTTTACCTCATGTTGCTAATAAAAATTTAATCTTTTCTGCCCAGGGGAGTATATTTTCTGTTTGCTTCCTATTGGTTTATGAAGAAGCTATTGACTGTTGTACACTTAGCATTTTTTAAAAAACCTGGCCATGGTGCTAAGCTTTCTTGTAACTTCTGAGTGTCTCAGAGTTGATTCCCTTAAGTGTTTCGGTTACCTACTCATATTGTTGGTATATAATACATTTTCGTCCCCTCTGTCCCAATGGTTATAGATTGTATTTCTCTTTCAGATCCTATTACATGAGTCACATCTTCTTAAGCAACAGGAAGTAGTAATACTGGAAGCAAACACACCTGCCCTGATTCTGATGTTCCCTCAGTGTTTTAACGGGAATGCCTCAGTGTTTCACTGTTAAGTAAGATGTTTATGTAATTATTATTCGAAAGGAGTATCCTCTAGTTTTCCCTAAGGATTATTTTATTTTGGGGCTATATTTTAGGTGTTATTTAATGCCCTTTAAACTATTATTAAAAGTGGGGGCTGCTGACGTAAAGTATTATGATGTCAGATTTGCTAAGATTGAACCATTTTGCAGTTCCAAGGTAAGATTAGTTTTCCTGGATCATGGCTAGAAAATCCCTTTGAGATACTATTTATTTTGCAGCTACTTTATTTAGGATTTTAAAATTATACCCAAGTGAGGTTTAGGTGTAGTTTTCTTTATTTTGTATTTTCGTTGTTAGGTGCTGAAATCAGGATTAATATAGCTTTATGAAATAGACTGTGTCGCTTTCCCTCCTTTTCCAGGCTTTGGGATAGTTGGTATAACCTAATTGTTAAAAGTTTGGTCATAAGCATGGGAAAAGATGCTTAGCATCATTAGTGAGTCAAGAAATGTCAGTCAAAACTACAATTCAATACACTTCACACCCACAGGAAAGGCTAACATGTACCTTTTTTTTTGTAAAAAAAAAAAGACAGAAAATGATAAATTTTGGCAAGAATGTGGAGAAATTGGAACCCTTGTTCATAGTTGGTAGCATTTTTAAATTCTTCAAAGCAGAGATAGAAAAATAAACATATGCACAAACAAAAGAAGGTAAGAATGACTGTGAACTTTTCGTCAGAAATTATGCAGGCCCTAAGGAACAAAGGGAGATAAATTGATGATAGATAGATAGATAGATGATAGATAGATAGATAGATAGATAGATAGATAGCAAGCAAATCTTGTCAACCTATAATTCTATTCAGGGAAATGAATCCTTTGAAAAATGGAAATAAAATCTTTTCAGACAAACACAAGCTGCAAGAATTTACTTGCAGGAGATCTGCTCTACAATAAATAGAAGCCAGGTTCTTTAAATCACAGGAATGTGAAACCTGTGATGACATGAAAGTTCAGGTGTATACAGAGAAATGGAGAGTGCCAAAAATTGGTAAATATATGGTAAATATAAACTTACTGCCTCATTAAAAAGTGCTTTGGAAGGTAACTGAATATCAAAGCCAAATGTAGGCATGTATTGTGGGGTTAAAATTATATGAGAAATAAAATGTGTCAACAACAAAATAGCACCAACAACAGGGAGGAAAGAGAAATGTAATGTTCTAAGAATTGTCCATTATACATGAAGTGGCATAATATGGATGGTGGTAAGCTAATGTTGAATATTACAAACCTTAATCACTTTCAAAATAAGGAATCAAAAAGGATAGCTTGTCATTAGCCAATAGTGTAGATAAATAGAAAAGTAAAAAATATATACATATACATTTAATCCAAAGGAAAGCAGGAAAAGAGGAAAGAGGAAATAAGGAAGGGTTGGGGCAAATAGAAAAAAGTAGAAACGTGATAGGTTTAAGTTCACCCATATTAAAAATTTTAACATGTGTAATAGTCCACACTCCAATTAAAAGACAGAGCTTCTAAAATAAAAAAGACAGACAAAGGTATGTGTGATCTACTAAAAAACCTACTTTAAAGGTGATGACAAAGACATGTAAGAGATGGAATAGACACCCCATGCACACTATAAGCAAAATAAAGCCAGAGTGGCTTTATTAACATGAGAGAAAACAGGCTTCAGAAGAGGAATTATTAACAGAGACAGAGATTATAAGGTGGCAGAGGTCAATACACCAAAAAAATTAACAACCCTGAATGTGTACATACACAGTAAATGAAGCAAAACTGGCAGACCTGAAAGACGAGGCAAATTAACAATTTTAGTTGAAAACTTTAGCACTTCTCTCTTAATTTACAAAACAAGCCAACAGAAACTCAGTAAGGATAATACTATTCATCAGCTTGGCCTAATTGACACAAAAATATCTACCCGCCGCCAGCAGAATAGCCATTTCTTTCAAGTGACCGAGTAACATACACCCAGATAGGCCAGGTGCCGAGTCATACAATAAGCCTTGGCAAATATAAAAAGTCTGAAATCATACAAAGTTTATGCTTTGCCCAACAGCAGAATTTAATAGAAAGACAACAGAAGAATATCTGGAAAAAAAAATCTCCAAATATTAAAAAATTAAACCATATGCTTCTAAATAACATGTGTGTCGAAGAAGAAATCATAAGGGGGGGTTAAGAATATTTTTAACTAAAGAATAAAAACACAACCTGGCGACATTTGTGGGGTATAGCTTAAAAAATGATCCACACTTACAACTTAAAATGCTGGGGTGGGTGGTGGGGGGCAGAGGGAGCAAACTAAACCAAAAAATAAGAAGGAAGTAATAAACATAAAAGTAGAAATCAATGGAATAAAAAACAAACAAAAAATAACGTGAATGAGATCCATAGCTGGCTCGTTGGAAAAAAATTTTAAATGAAGTTGATAAATCCCTTACTAGACCTATTCGGAAAAACAGGGAGAAGTCACCAATTACCACATCAAGAGCCAAACAGAAGCATTACTACAGATCCTATAGACTCTACAAGGATAATAAGGAGACATTATGAGCACTGTTACTCTAATTACTTCGATAACGTAAAAGAAATAAATTCTTTTTCATAATATTCCTTTGGTTGTATGTAAAAAATGATCCACACTTACAACTTAAAATGCTGGGGTGGGTGGTGGGGGGCAGAGGGAGCAAACTAAACCAAAAAATAAGAAGGAAGTAATAAACATAAAAGTAGAAATCAATGGAATAAAAAACAAACAAAAAATAACGTGAATGAGATCCATAGCTGGCTCGTTGGAAAAAAATTTTAAATGAAGTTGATAAATCCCTTACTAGACCTATTCGGAAAAACAGGGAGAAGTCACCAATTACCACATCAGGAGCCAAACAGAAGCATTACTACAGATCCTATATACTCTGCGAGGATAATAAGGAGACATTATGAGCACTGTTACTCTAGTTACTTCAATAATGTAAAAGAAATAAATTCTTCTTCATAATATTCCTTTGGTTGCATAAAAGAATGTCCTTATTCTTAGGAGATACATGCAGACATATTAACAGAGCAAATCACTTTCAAAGCGTTCAGCAAAATCTTAATTGGTGAATCTAAGCCATGGGTATACCCATGTTCATCGCGTTCTTTTACCTTTTCTGCATATTGGAACATTGTCATCATACAAAGTTGGAATAAACACAAATCAAGACACACTCTAGTTATTAGGGAGGCTCTGACTCCAAATTTCTCATTTGAAACAGGTCTGTGATGAAAAGAACAGTGTCATGACCTTTCCCCCGAGAAGGCAGGGTCATGGCCTTCCCTCTGAGTCAGGATGTCGCTTCTGGGTGATGCTGCTGAGCTGGGAGCTCCTAGGAGATGAACACAGAGAGGAAGGACCGAGATCCCTGGGGGCCAGTCTTGCCCCTTTCATCAGCAGCAAGGAAGGGGCAATAAAAAAAAAAATCGAGTAAACTCTAGATGTGCAGGTCCTAACAACTCATAAAATGCCCCCAGCAGTCAGCATAGACTTTGCTTTATAAACAGAGGCTTGGCCTACTTAGCTCTTCCCAGAGGTTGGAAAAAAAGAGAGGCCTTGACTCACACAGACATGAAACCTTTGACCTAATTGGATACTAATTACTCATAACAGCTTTGTTTACTCATTCGTCTCTTAAACCAAGCTCCGTGTGAGACTCCAGCGTCCGTAAAGCAGCAGAATTGCTGCTGGGAATAAGACACAAAGATTTATTGATTCAGCCCAGATGTCCTTCATTTATTCAGCCCCGCCGTCCTTTTTTTTTTCAGACCAGTGGTTGCTAATTGCATAAGAATAAATAATACACGGGTTGATAAACCTAGGGATTTATCTACAGAACAGCTTTCCTGCATTCCTACGGAGCTGTAGAGTTAGAATCTCGGGTAACATTGACAGTCAGAGGAACTGGCCATCGGAAGCCACGCTGGATGGGACCGGCGGAATTTCCCGTGCTGTGATGTATCTCTGTGATAAGTGTCTCTGTAAAGCAAACAAATGGCTGTATGTTTACTGATTGTCATGAAGTGCAAGGGAAAGAGGCCCGGTAATGTTGGCTCCCTTTTGGCCTTGGGTCCTGGCTGATGGCTGGGCTTCTAACCACCCTCTGTGCTGTGTGGAGACTTGAGAGGCAGTGATAGGTAGGCAATGCATCAGAACTTCTCTGCAAGATGTAATTGGCCCTCTTACTACTTATCTTCCTACGACCCATTTGCTCACCAAATGGAGCATCTCCACTGCTCTCTGCTATTATTGCCGCTAGGTATAGTGGTAAAAATAGACGAAATGAATTGCGGTGTTTATGCAGCTCACGTTATGGTTGATTTGGTAAAATCAAAATTCTTTCAATAAAGAACAAAGCATGTGAGGAAGACTTTGGGTTTAGAAATCTGGGCTTTCACCCCAGCTTTGCAGCCGCTTGTTGGAGAGCCTGAGGGATGAGCCCTTGGACCAGCCGTGGGCAAACTACGGCCCGTGGGGCGGGTCCGGGCCCTTTTAAATGAATAAAAATAAAAAAAAAAAAAAAAGACCGTACCCTTTTATGTAATGATGTTTACTTTGAATTTATATTAGTTCACACAAACACTCCATCCATGCTTTTGTTCCGGCCCTCCGGTCCAGTTTAAGAACCCATTGTGGCCCTCGAGTCAAAAAGTTTGCCCACCCCTGCCTTGGACCCACCTCTAGACCTCGAGGTTTCCTCCAGCGTGGGCGGGAACTTGACCAGATTTCCAACGGCAGCCCTTCCCGCCCACATTCCTGAGAGGAGATCTTCCTACGGTCCCGGGCAGAAGAGCGTGGGCTTTGGAGGAAGGCATGGTGGGTGGGTCAATCATGAAATCTCTGATCTGGCTCAAGTCATCTAACCACACTGAGCTTCCATTTCCTTGCTGCGAAATGAGATAAGAATGCTCAAAGAAGGTACCATCGGCAAGGGAACCCCACCGCCCCCGGCACGCCATCAGACCTCCCTCAGGAAGGTATGCGTGAAAAAAGGTTTCGTAATGCAAAAACCACGATCATTTCACCAGCGAAGCAACCAAGACATGGGGCAATTTCCCCTCAATGGGTCAGCCCATGCGCAACCTAAAACGCGTGAGGACGGGAAAGGCCTCCTGATTGGTTCCATCCCTTTTAACCACCTTTAGTCTGGAAGACAGGAAGAGTCCCTTCAAATGAAAAACGTTCCCGGCACATACATGTTCACTGTTAGTGTTTGGAAAATGTGTCCATAGACAACCAGGGACATTTTTCACACAGCCTCGCCCGATCCCCCAGGCTCAACAGGAGGTGCATGGGGACACGGGGCTCGGGGCTGCTGGACAGCACTGTGCCTGGGGCTGTGGACAGCTCTCCTGGGTCCCGGTGTCAGGGGCAAGGCTCCCTGTGACAACTGTGTGTCATGCCCTCGGGGCCTTGAGGTAGAAACACGTTTCCCAGGTGGGTCTGCACTCCCCACCGCGGGAGCAGAGGGGGTGCACAGAAGTGGAGCCTGGGGGACAGAGCTCCGCCCCTCCCTTGAACACCTTTTTGAGCATGAGCTAGGGTTGGAGGAGTGGGGCGTGCACTTCCCCACCTCTCTGTCCTGCTGGACCAATGGCAGATGCGCGCCTTCCTGCCCAGTTAGCAGAGCCCAGCAAACAACGAAATTAATTCTACCTGGTATTCGCCACATTACACCCAGGGGCCCACTGTGAACTCAGTGTCACTGGTCAAGTTCATGATGAATTTTGTGTCAAGCCCAGGACATTCCCAGAAGGTTGCTTTTAAAATAAATATCTAAGAGAAGAGGTTTACTTTTTCGGTGTTATTTGTCTAGTTACCTCTGTTTCCTTAAAAGTCAGAGGAATAGGAATCAGATATACATGCATTTTTCACCAACACGGCTCCCTGTGCCCGTTTGTCTCTCTCAGGAAGTGAGTTGATATAACGGGGCATTCACTTCGCCCAGGAGAGAAAGAAAATGCCTCTTTTATCTCCAGCCTATTCTTCATGAATCTTCGTAGAGGAGGTAATGGCTGCCCAATTTTCTCATCCCATTCAGAGTCCAGGGGTGGGTGGAGATGTGATTTCAGCTCAACGATCCCACCCGATGCCTGAAATGAGGTGTTCGGCAGGTGTGGGCACAGAATTGCCCGTGAACGTCCATCTGACATTATTCCAGTCTGTCAGATTTCATTCATCCTCACCTGGGATTCAGACCTGAAATTTCGTCGGCAGTGGGAACCGGAGAGAAGATTCCAATGTGAAACCGGCTCAGCCCCACGTTGGCCCTCGTGGAAACCAACGCTAGAGTTGCCCGGTGCGCGTTTGCCAGGGTCGGCGGCCCATGCTGGTGTGGGTGACATGGCAGAGAAGGGGCCCTTGGGATGACGGGAGCTCCGGGGGGCTGTTGAATCAGGGGCCTCTCCCGGCATCGTTAATAACTTCTGGGGGCCCAAGGGTGGGGGTTCCAATCGGGACCAGCGCCTGCCTCTTCCCTCCTGGCTGTGCGAGGCTGATGAGCGAGCCAGAAGGAGGGCTGGGCAGTGGGGGCCTTGTGCGGGCAGCCCCGGGCAGGCCTCAGCCCCGGGCAGGCCTCAGCCCCAGGAAGCTCAGGGGAGACCAGGCTGCAGCGCTGGGGTTGGAAGAACCCTCGGTCAGGGATCCAGACGGCGCCTGGTGTCATTGTTAGGGACAGAGACACCTGAGTCTGGTCTCTGGTGGCCTTCTCCTTCCCCGGGGGGTCAGCCCCTCCCAGAAGCCTCCCCTGGAGGGAGGCTCCCCTCACCCAGCGGAGCTCAGCGCCCCAGCCCCTCCCTGCTCCCCGGAGGAGCCGAGGAGGGCCTGGCAGGTCAGTGGTCACGGCTGAGCCTGTTTCTCGTGGTCTCTGCTGCGTCCACGGGGGAGGTTTGGAAGAGGCCTCACGGCGAGGGTGCCCACGAAAGGACAGTGGCTGACTCCCGAGGAAGAAGCCCCGAAAACTTGCAGACGTGGAAACGCCACGCTCTGATGCCCGTTGGGGAGGAGCCAGGTGTGGGCAGCTGACCCCGTGAGCTGTCTCACCGTGTGGCCTCCTGGATGCTGTCCTCTGCACAGAGCGTTCCGCTGAGCACAGGTGTGCTGTCGGCAGACTTGTTTTAGAACATAGCCAGTAAGATTCCGTCACATGCAAGTGGCAGAAACTCAGCTCCAACTGGCTTAGGCCTCAGAGGGGACGCGGTGGTGTAGGTCCTCCCTGAGACTGGGCGGTGAGGCTTCAGGAACAGGGCGATCCAGGGCCCAGCTGTGCGGATTCTGTTTCTCAGTGTCTGTGGGCTCGACTGCTTTCTCTGTGACAGCTCAGTTCTCAAACAGGAGACCTTCCAAGGGGACGGGATGGCCATCGGTGCCCCAGGGTGACAGGGTTCTTAGTGCTGGTGATTTCAGAAGGAGACAGGGCCCCTCTGTCTTGGTGTCTGTATTCATCTGTGAAAGGGGCTGGGCGAGGGGGGGGGTCATGCCCGCCCCCGTGCAGAGAGGTGGGAGGTCATTGCTAGGTTGAGGGGGCAGTTCCCGGCCTCGGGTTTCACTGGGGGGAGGGGGGAGCTCCGCCCCCAAGGTGGGATGTGCTCTCGGCCACCTGGTGAGCTGGAGGAGGAATAATTGAGAGCGGGGGAGGCTGGGGAAAAGCCGCTAAAAGCCCCTCCACGCTGACAACTGCTCAGCTCTGAAAGCTTTAAATGCTCCCAAAGTAATGAACAATCAAAGGCTTGGCGGCCACCCTGCCCCCAGCTCAGGTGGGTTTGACATTTAAAGTGTTCCGCCCACAGCTTTCCTGTGAGAGAGGAGCGTGTCTCTGAACTTCACATTCAGGCAAATGAAGAGAGTGCCTGGCAGACTCCGCCTCCAGACGCTGTCACTCAGCGCTGGCTTCCCGGGAGGGAAGGGGGCAGGGGCAGGAGGCAGACTGCTCTGCTCCACCCTCCTCTGAGGGCTCCCACCTCCCGTGAGGGGTGAGTCCTCCCTGTCCTCACCCCTGCTGTCCCCAGAGAAGTGACTCCTCACAATCTACGAATGAGCCTGGGTGGGAAAAGCTGCATTTGAACTTACACTAGCATCCAACTAAAAGGTATCCTTGTCTTTGATTACTGAATGGAGGCGACAGAGGGTAGCAGCATGGGCAGTACCGGATCCATCACCGATCCAAGTCGCAGGTACCCTGCACGTGGCTGCTGTGCGGCCTCTCGGAATGCCACTTCTCGTCGCTGCTTCGAGACTGCAGCCGCTCTGAGACCTGCCTCCGGCCTACTGCACGACAAAGAAGCCATAGGGCACTTTCCCACAACCATCATTCCATGTGCATTTCCACGTAATTGGCTTCCTTTTACATTTTCCATTATGCATGCAAGCTAGGATTCTGGCCCGGCCGGCGTGGCTCAGTGGTTGAGTGTCAACCTGTGAACCAGGAGGTCACGGTTCGATTCCCGGTCAGGGCACCAGGTTTCGGGCTTGATCCCCAGTGTGGGGTGTGCAGGAAGCAGCCAATCAGTGATTCTCTCTCATCATTGATGTTTCTCTCTCTCTTTCCCCTTCTCCCTCCCTCTCTGAAATCAATATATATTAAAAAACACAAAACCCCCCACTAGGATTCTGAGAAGGGGTCTATAGCGTCCCCGGCTCTTCCCATAGGGCAGCTTGGGCTATGAGTTGTACACACGCTATGAAGGGCATCCCACCACTGCACCGTGAGGCAGGGATTAAAATTCCTCCATTCAACAGATGGAACGACTGAAGCTCGCAGAGCGGATAAACTCCGAAAGGACACAGGCCAGTACGTGGCAGAGGTGGATTCAAATCCAGAAAACCTGACGGGAGCCTCCATCCGCGTCGGCTCAGAGGGGGAACTTGTGCGATGGTCCATCGAGGGACAGGTGTCAGACCTGTTCCTGAGGCAGCGCCTCCCCCCAGAGGAGGGTGTGGACAGAGCAGACACCCTCCAAGGCGCCCTGGAGAGGGAGGGGATGGACAAGAGCAGGCTCAGCCTCGGGCTCTGCCCAGGGGCCACTGCTTGCTCCACACGTTCCTTGCACTAGTCTTTTGCTAACGTTAGTCTCTGCGATTGCTCCGTGGATATTTCACTTACCCTTTGATGACCAATTTCAGGTACGTCTCAACGTCTAAAGGAGTGTCGGCCATCGTGGTTCAGTACAGAGGAGCTGACGGAAAACGAGCTGTCCTGAGGGTTCTTTTGTTTTTTACTTTTCAAACTGGAAAAGCTCAGCTCACAGGTAAAGATGTAGGAGCTGGCAGAGAGTAAATAAATAGCTGATGGCTCAGAGAGGATTTAAGTCCAAAATGGGTCTAGAAATCAGAGAGATTTCTCCTTGAAGTCTGATTCATCCTGGGGAAGGGTCCATTTCCCTGCCCTCCTCCCTACCCTCCTCTCTCCTTCCCTGCCTTCCATCTCTCCCCCCCAGCCACCCAGCAGGTCCCCCGTCCCCGACCCTGAATTACGCATTAGCAGGGTTTACTGGAGGTGATTGAACGCTGCATGGAAGTGGAAACCAACCAAAGAGAGTCAAGTGTTCAGCTCACCTTGATTTTTCATGAAAACCCCTGAGCACAGCCCTCTTCCGTGCAACTTAGGGCATCTTTACAAATGCCCCGGGCCAGCGAGGAGGCCCACCATCTCCAAGTGCTCAGCACCCACAAAGGGCTCCCTCTGTGGGGCGTCAGGGGGATGCTGGGCAGAGCACCTGGACTTCGGTGGCAGAGAGGAGGTAAATGAGAGAGAGGAGGAAAAACTGGGGAGAGGGAGGGGCAGGAAGGGCGGGCGGCAAATAGAGACTAAATGTGGGCAAAGGGGAAAGGGAAGGGGCGAAGGCCAGGTGCCCCCGCAGGTGAGGGTTCCGATCCTGCTCTGGCCTCTTGGGCTCTGGGAATCCGATCTTCTGCTTCTCAGCTGGAGACTGGAGACCTCACACCCACCGCCTCAGAGAATGGGTGGGAGGCCGTCCCCTCTAGTGTACGCACGGGCCGGGCGGGGCCTGGCCTCGGCGGGCGCCCAGCCAATGGGTGCTGTGGGCCTGATGGCCCTGTCACCACCGGCTGCTGCTCACCTGGGCTTCAAGGAGAGAACTTTGTCAGGGCTTCAGAGGCCCCGGGTGCTGACATTGAACTTACACCCGATGCTCCACCTGCTCTTCACTCTGAGCCCACCAGGGGCGCCCTGGAGAAGGTGCCACAGCCCCACCCGCAGGCCCTGCAGCCAGGGAAGGTCTGGTCGAGCCATGGAGGTCAGAGTCTCCGTGGAAAGGTTCATCACCGCCTCCCCAGCCCCCCTTCTTGGCTGATCAGTCATAAAGCATCTTAATACCAGGCCACATCCGTTCCCCAATCACAGGTGAGTCCCCGATTACAGAGCCCCCTGCCCTGGTCCCCAGCCCACGCTGCACTGCGGCATCCATCCTGAGCAGTGGCCGAGGGAAGACCCCGCCCCGTCCTCACCCCCCGCTTGACCGCCCAGTCACTGTCAGCATCTGTGTGAGTCTGAAAGACCTTCTCCCGGCCCCTTGTCTGGGGGACCCCGGGCCTGGACAACCCAGCTGCCAGGCAGCACTCTCTCTCCCCGACACAGGCAGCCCCGGCCCTGCCATCTGTTGGCCCCGGTCCCCGCACGCTGGGGGCCCTGGCACCTCAGACCAGTGACTGGGGAGCCGAGGGAGCCAGGATTTCCACACCGTCTTCCCTCCTGTCCCTGGGCTCCCGTTTCACTGGCAGCAAGTCCTTACACAATACGCCCAGCCCCCTCTGTCCCTGGCTCTGCCTTCCCGGCATCCTCGCTGGCACAGCTTGGAGACCGTAAATAACACATCCCTTTTCCAAACAAACTCGGGTAAATTCCGCGTGGCCCTGAAAACAGGCCCGTGCGCCTGCCAGGCGGGGCGCTGGCAGGGTCAGCACCTGGGCCCCTGCTCTCAACAACCGGCTGCTGGACGGGGGACAGACTCCCTGCCCTGGGCGTGTGACTATCCCCTGATTCCACACTGGCTGGACGTGTGTGTGAGTGTGTGTGTGTGTGTGTGTGTGTGTGTGTGTGTGTATGTAGAGAGAGAGAGGGCCTTTCCCACGAGCTCAAGAAAGAAGGTCCAGGGTCCCCCAGACCAGGGCAGGGCAGAAGGTATTTCAGACTCACACGGATGCTGACCTGTGATTGGGGAACGGATGTGGCCTGGTATTAAGATGCTTCATGACTCTGATGAGCCCAGAAGGGGGGCTGGGGAGGCGGTGATGACCCCTCCCATCAGGACTCTGACCTCGATGGTGCCACCAGACAGGGTGACCGGGAGACTCGCAGGAAGACCCGCCCCAGGACATCGCAGGGTGTCCCGTGTGGACCCGGGAAAGCGCTGTGCCAGCCCAGCCCTGCCCATCTCTGCTGCTCCTGGGAAGACGGCTTCCTCCTGGTCGCGCGTCCCTTTCTCCTTGGCCCAGGAAGCTGGGGGAGATGGGGACTCGGCGCTGTGACCTCTTAAAGCCCCACGACCTGCACATCGCATCCCAATCTCTTTCTCCCCGTCTTAGTTCTCATTGTTGGGACCACTCGGGCACTGGAGTTTCTAGCTTCCAGTGTGGTGCCTGCACTGCTGTGGCCTCTTCAACTGGGGTCCAGGGGAGCAACATGCTCGCCCCTCCGTCCTGCCCAGCCAGGGGCTCCCAGTGCCTCGTGATGGGGCTGTGTCCCAGAGGAAACCCTCTCTGATCCCTCCAGGAGGAGAGCAGAATGCACGCTCCGGTCCAGGGCTCACTGTCCCACGCACCCAGGCCTCCTGAAGTCACTGTGAAGCGCCGTGGGCAGTTACAACGGTGTGAACGAGGCAGTAAAGCCACACGCACTGTGGATCGAAATGAGTCAAGTCTGATGGTCATTCTTCACATTCTTTCAGGCCCTTTCCGGGCCTGCTCTTCCTGGGCCTCTGGGGGGCTGTCCCCTGCTCGGAGTAACTGGGGACAGGCCCCTCACTGGGCTCAGAGGACCCCACGGCCCTCCTCCCCCCAGGCCCAGCTTCCTGATTGCTGGCACCTGGACCCCGGCCTTGTCCCTCCCTCATGCCTGTCCCATGGGAGGTGCCCGGGGTCAGTGTCTCCTCCGGCACCGTCCTGAGCTGCCTCTGGTGGGATCCTGTCGGACACATCAGCAGCTCTGCTCAGGGTGTGTGTGACTCAGGGGCCTTCTCTCTGCGCAAGGGACATGCTCACCGCTTTGTCTCCTAGAGCAGTGATGGCGAACCTATGACACGCGTGTCAGAGGTGACACGCGAACTCATTTTTTGGTTGATTTTCCTTTGTTAAATGGCATTTAAATATATAAAATAAATATCAAAAATATAAATCTTTGTTTTACTATGGTTGCAAATATCAAAAAACTTCTATATGTGACGCGGCACCAGAGTTAAGTTAGGGTTTTTCAAAATGCTGACACGCCGAGCTCAAAAGGTTCGCCATCACTGTCCTAGTGACTTATTTATGTAAAACATCTATTCCAGTTGGCAACAGTTTTTACATTTTCTTCAAACAACTAGGAGGACCGTGTGTGTGTGTGTGTGTGTGTGTGTGTGTGTGTGTGAGAAAGAGAGAATGAGAGTGAGTGTATGTGTGTGTGTATGTGTGTGAATTTGCCATCAAGAGAAAGCTTTTTTATTTGACGGCATAAAATTTAGAAATGCTAAGCAATAAGCAGTATCTCAGATAAAAAACAATAAGATAAAACTATAAAGCAGGAAAGAAATCTAAAGATTTCTAATCTATGAATTTAGGGCTAACCTATCCTATGATTTTTAGGACTAAACTATGAATTTAGGACTAAAGCAATGCAAATATTACGACGTAGTTTGAATGGAGTGTTGTCCTGTCTAAGTGTTTTGTTTTGTTTGCATTGTTTTTTAAAACCAACCAAACATTTTTTAGGTACGTATTAAGTTACTTCTATAGATGTGTAATAATAGCTATAGCAAACAATCATGGCCATTGTTTCAAAGTCCTTGTCAAACTCAGAGGACGGTTTAGGTCATGGTGGTCATTTAAAATACAACATGTCTAGTCTGTAATTCTAAAGAGTCTCCTGGGGATTTTGTGTCCAGGAGCATTATATTAACGGGTCTATATTTGCATGCACTACTGTGAAGCTGCAATGCTGTGTCTGCTAAGGGTGGTTGTGGCAGGAGTGTAGTGAGAGCCAAACTGGAGAGAGTCAGTCAGAGTCACTGGAGCAGAAACACAGGCCGGACTGTGCCTGGTGGTGGGTGCTCAGGACCCAGCTGCCGGGGACGCTGAGTCACACCTGCAGGTGACCCCGGATTCCTGAGCTCTCCCCGCAGTACCCTCCTCCTTCCTGGGGGACCCATGACCCAGGGGAGGGCCTGGCGCTGCAGGGCCTCTGTGGGCGGCTGGGACTTGGACTTGACCTCGGCCAGCCTTTGCCTGTGGATCATTTTCTCTCCTCAGGTCCTGGAACTTCCTCTCCGTGACCTGGGCTGCCACGCAGGCGCCCTCAGCTCCTCTCTGCTGGCCTCGGCTCATTGTCATCGTAGAAGGTGCTTCTTCCCAGCTGCTCCTTCCCGTCTCAGGCATCTCCCTGTGCACGTCCAGAACCCGACTCACGGAGTTCCTGCTTCTCCAGACGTTGAAGTTTCTCCTCCATCTCGAAGCCGCCATTTCTGCCTCAAACAGTTGTTTCTGAAGTTGAGTGACAGGATCTCCGTGTGCATCGGGCAGACGTGGGAGCTCCAGCTGCAGCCCTGGAATCTCATCGCTCAGGTGTGACTTTCCACTCGGCCAAGATGCTTCCTCGGTTCGCAGACTCCTTCCTGCTTTCACTTTTGCTCCCGCATTGTCTGGCTGTTTCTTGATTTTCCTCGTGGGCACTTTGATGGCCCACAGTGAGGCCAGCATCATGAGGGACGCCCTGGAGAGCAACTTCCGACCCATGGAGAGTGGATCCCCACCCCCTGCTCCCCTCTTTGGTGGGAATTCCAAGTCCCCATCACCCACGTGACCCTTCCTGCCTTCGACGGCCCCCGCCTTCGTTTCTCCTCCTCCTGCTCCTGGGTTTTCTGCTTCCACCCGTCACTTCTCCTTGGCGCAGCTCTGGACTCTCTGGATAATGAGTGCTTTGGGTCAAATCACCCACTGGGTTCTTCCGAGGTTGTCCCCCGTCAATCCCCGATGCATCTGAGACGGGGTGTCCATCAGTCACGTGGGGACGTGGAGGAGGTTGGCTCTTGCGCCGTTTTCAGGCGGTCATCCGCGTCCCGGTGGCAACCTGCTCAGGTGCGTGTTCAGTGCCCACAAGTACAAGGTCTGTAACAGGAGAGGCCCGGCCTCCGCCCCAGGTGACTTGAGGGCGCCCTCGGCTTCTGCCATTGGC